GTTGTTAAACAAAGACTACCTGTAATAATATCTATAAGTTACCTGTGTAGCTTTCCTGACTAAAGAATAAGATTAAAATTCATGAAATTATAAAGAAGGAGGAAATGCATTTTTAATTTACTGTCTCCAATAGAAGAATAATTGTGGAGTCCCTGGAGCTTGGTTGTTTGCTTGCAGACGTTCCATTACCCATCTAGCTAACATCATCAGTGTTGCAATAGTCACGCTAGTCACATTGATGTTATTTAGTTGAGTAATGATGTTATTTAGTTGAGTAATGTTATTTAGTTGAGTACCAGGCCTTCATAAATTACTATCTGTTTCACATACAGTATTTCTGCATTTATTGCTCTTGTGCAGAAAATACAGAGGGAGAAAGACTGACAATCATCAAAAAGACTCCAGTATTCCAGCATTTGGTCACTTGATTAGCATGTTAAAGAAGGATTTAGGATATTCTGCTTCCAAGAAAAGATGAATAATACAATATTTTATCGATAATATAGTTTTCATCAACTAATATATATAAATTCTGCATTTGGACCAAAGTACTAGGCTTATAATTGCTTTTAAACACTAAGTCACTATGACATTGGGTTTAACCCTGCTGAAGACAATCTGTAGAACCTGTAAAAAACTAACACACAACTCTCAATATAACTGAACCTCTCTAAAAAGACTTTTTAATTGTCTGTGTTATCTTGTCTGAGTTTTAAGGGGGAAAAGGGAGCTTTTTTTTTTCTTTTTCAGGGAAATTTCACTGAAGTCACATAAAGACAGCATCTAATCCAGGCCTAATAAAGGAATTTTGTGAAATAGCAAATTATAAACAGATTCCATGTTAAGCAAATTATATGTCTCTCAGGAATATCTGTCTCCTTTGTGTAATTATGCAGACGGACCAGTAAGTTTAATTAAGGTTATTTCCAAGTTAGTGCACATAAAGTCTCAGACTGAGATCATCAAAAGAAATACATGAGGAGACATTCCTTATTGATGGCGACAACAGAGGAAACTTTTCACACAATGAAATAAAGGTCTCTCTGGCATCAAAAATGAGACAGTGAGGAGGATCATACTTTACCATTAAACATGCATCTATTAAATAAAACCACTTACTGTGAAACAGCTCTTAAAGACAACCCATTTCACTTTGGCCATTAATTGGCAGCACTTTTCATGAACCAGAACAAAATGCTTGGATTTATTATTGGGTTGATATATAATATTTTGTTCAGAATCATATATAAGATAACATAACCTAAGAATGCCATCCTGTCGGTGCCACAATCTTGTTTTGGTTTTTCTGCTGTACTTGCAGAGGACATTTTTTCTTTGGTCTTTTTCTCACTGGCTTTCTGTCTCTTCATCAAGCAGTTTCCTTCTTTGCTTAGGAGGGAGATCTTCCCTAGCAGAGCCTCTTCTGGTGAGGTGGCCAGAGCTGGCAAGCTTCATCAGCCACTCCCACTGCTTCTTCTCTCCCCTAAATAACATCAGCCTCTTGGCTTGCTTCCCTAGCCAATCCTTGCTTTCTTGTCGCCATAAGAGCCTCATTCCACCTGAGAAATGGCATCTGTCATGGATGTGCAAGAACAGGTATGAGTTCCTAGAAGGTAGTCTTGCCCAGAGCAAAGTGCCAAGTGTTCAACTGCACAGATCAGCCAATGGGGTTCCACTGTTGCTAAGAATCCACCGGCCATTCAAAGATTGATTGTTCCTCCTGCCAGAATGTCTCCCAAGACTCAGTCTAAATGGCACTCAGAGTTAGAGGATATTGTTGTTGCTGTTTGAGTTTGGGACCCCCAGTTTACTAGATTTCAGACTTAAGTTCTCCATAAATATTTGAGCATTACAGAGGAATTCTTTAAAAGGGCATTGCTTCTGCAGTTATGTACGATTGTGATAAGATTAGGGAATGTATATTATAAAAATGATTGAATAAATTACAGGAAATTTAAATAATAGCAAGGATACTAAAGGTCAGAAAAAACTGTGTCTAACACAAGGCACACCTCCAATGTTTCCAAAGCATCAGGTTTTTAATTTTTAAAATATTAATTTGTTTTGATTTTATTTATTTTAAATTTTTATTATTTTTTTATAAATAACACAGGGCAGCGAACATTCCTAATACTCTTCCTCCTATTTTCATCACAACAACAAAGTGAGATGGGTTGGGCTGAAAAAGAATGACTAGTCCAAAGTCTTCCAGTTGGCTTTCATGCCTAACATGGGACAAGAACTCAGTCTCTCAGTTCCTAGACTGATGCCTTACCTATTAGATAACTGACCAGCTGCACTTCAGCCTTAGGGTGAATTAGTTTCTTAGAAATCTGCCTAAATTAATTAATTTATGTATCTGTATGAGTGTCTCCTAGCCATTTCTTCATGATTAAGGAAGCTGATTTCTCATTATAAATCCTGACTCCCAAGCCACGATTTGCAAACCTGACTTTGCTTGTTGAAAGCTGGCTGGGAAGGTTGCAAATGGCAATCAAATGACCCTAAGATGCTACACCCCTTGTAAACACATACTGCTTACCAAGTGTCCCAATTTTAGTCAGGTGACTGTGGGGTTGCTGTAACAATCGTTAAGCGGGAGGACCAATCATAAGTAACTTTTTTTAGGGCGCTGTAACTTTGTCCATTTGCTAAATGAATGGTTGTAAATCAAGGACCACCTGTAATGAATCTTTTATAGATTTCTCTATTGATAGGAATAACTTCAATTGCTGATAATTAGAATTTAGTTTTATTTGTGAAATGTATTTTCCACCCAATCTTAAAATGCTGCTTCATTGCATTTCTTAATTGCAAACAACCCCTATCCCGAAGTTCACTCCAGTTGGTCCCAAAGCATTCCAAATCACAGCTGGTAGCTAGCTGTGTAGGTTCCTGCTGGGTTACTGGAAAAGTGCTTCTCTTTTCATGTTTCCATTGACACCCCTAAAACTCCCATCTGAAGGGAGTGAACATACTATATATAGCTTTGTTTTATGAAAGTGCTGGATTGATAGTCTGCAAACTGATGTTCTTTGTTAAACTACAAAGCAAGAACAACAATGCACAGCTGCAGTATAAGCTTGCTATCTGCCACACACACACACACACACACACACACACACACACACACCCCTCCACCACCCCGATCCTGTGCCTCAGTCAGTCAGTCAGTCAGTCAGCCTGAGTAAGGCAAATCTGCCCACAGGAAGTTCAAGCCTTGCCAGGACAACAGGGCTGAGAGAGAGTTGCTTTGCAATGCACTTTCAGGAAAACAGAAAGTTTCCAAAGAAAAGTCATCCTTAGCAGAGAACTCTTTGATAATATTCACATGCTTGCTGATACTTTTGTTTTGCTTTTAAAGTAACTTTCAGTTCTTGTTTTACAATACAAACCATGGGAAACCACACGAGTTATGCGAAACCAGCAACGCAGGCGATAGGAAGAAGTTACTTTAGTTACCTTCGCCAGAAAAGTTATTTCCTTGCAAGGACAAAATGAATACTGTAAGACAATACAGTTATCTTTTCTTCTATTGTTTAGAAGACACTGATTTTCAAAACTATCCTGGCAGAATGTAAATCAGGAGACAGAAGTTCTACCCTAAATATAATGTGATTTTGGCTTCATAGTAACTTAAAAAAAATATGCCGAAATCCAGTGCTTTTTTCCTAAAAAAAAAAAAAAAAAGGTGCCGGAACTCACACATGTCATACAACCCGCCTTGCCTACCCTACAAGGTTCCATCCAAAAAAGGTGTCGGAACTCCGTTCTGGGCGTTCTATGAGAAAAAGAAGCCCTGCCGAAATCATTATGAAAATGAAAAGTTCTTAAGAATCTCTCTCTCACTCACACATACATTCACCCACCCCTCCATTACCATAATTTCTTGGGAAAAGGCAAAAAATAAAATGTGATTGTGTCCAGTTATTTCATTTTTTCTTTTTTAGTGTGAGAAAAAACAACTTACTTTATCACACTGAAGGCTTTACTTGACTTGGCTTTTATAACTCATTGTATCTTCTAATCTAAATCAGGCAACAATATTTTAACAATCAATGGTACATTCCAGCCTTCCCTAGCTTAATGCCTTCCAGGTGTGATGGGATGACACATACCCGGGAGTTAATACTCCTTCCAGGGTTGATTTCTGTGTAGACTTGCCTAATGGATGGAACTATCAGCAACCTCACATGGAATAAGGTAAACTCCCCACTGACTTATGAGAAGAAGAGAGAGTGACTTGCAAAACAGATGTGCCATTCACTCTTATGCTGGTATACTGTTATAACATTGCCATGAATCAGAAGCTCAAGGTACATTCTAGATGCAGTGCAGGGAATAAGTGAAAATAATCAATTTACTTGTAATTATTTCCGCAAGAAAATGGGCACAACGAACCAAGAAAGTTTGAGAACCTCTGCCTAACCTACTATTTTTAATCAATGATACATAAATATGTTACATTTATTGAAACCAGAAATTTGGATTATGTTTGCAAATCTGTCTGCAATGACCTATTGAACTCATTGGCATGAAGTTTGAGACATTTTTTAAAAAATAAGGACATAGAATAAAGACTGATGCCTAAAAATGACATGAGAGAAGGTATTACATATAAAAAGACTGAGACATATACATTGACTCAGCATTAAAGCTGCACTCTAAAACCATACCTATTTTCTATCTTCTTACTACTCAAAAGAATAAGAACCCTGTAGTTTCTTTGAGGAATAAATGCTGAGATACTTGAGTTGCTAAATATTGCATATTAAATGTTAAGCTCTCACAGTGGATTCATACTGGGAACAGAATAAGACACAGACTTGATTATACAGAACTGGAATAGCAAATGATAGACCCTTACTTTTAAAATGAATGTTCAGAACCAAACCCTAATCTACCAATATGCAGCTCATTATAATCTCTTGAAACACACCATTGTTTTAAACAACTGTTATATTAATTTATTAAATATATACTCTTTCTTCATTTCTTACCTATCAAGGAGCAATTCCAGAACTTCCTTTGTAGATGCAAATCCTCGGTATGTTGACAGAAATATGCTGATGTAGGTAAAGTCGTTGTCCCCAAATGCTGTCAATAGATTTTCCACAAGCTTCTCTAGAGTTCCTGCCTTTATTGTCCTGATCTTACAAGTTTCATATTGGCTGACAGTGTGTCCTGGCGGAAGTTGGTCCCCTTCAACCTGTGTTAATAGACAAATCAAGGGAAAAAAAGGGGGGGAGAATTATTAAACTCTTAATGGTAGAAATAAGACTGCACACAATATCTTTTTAGGTGTAATGAAATGGTCTGAAGATTTAGAGTAGTTACAAAACAGAGCGGGTGCTTGAGAACACCTGGAGAAGAGGAAACCACAAAGCAGCTGAGTGCATACACTGAAGCAAACAACAAATAATGACACAGACTAATTCAAACATCTTTTGATCATTATGAATTCTGAGAGATCTAACTGGACTCTACAGGCATTGTGAGTCAGAGAATATGGTATAACAGTTGACTAAGGAAGGGCCAACAGCTTTTAAGGGCTGAATACCCTCGCTAATCAGTTTTGACACCCTGTGATTGAAGCTGAGCTCAAAGAGAGCAGATGGGTTTGTTGCAACTTCATTAACTTCCTTACCATTTAGCAACATTCCTATCTGAGCTGCTTAATTTCATCCACACATATATTTTACATATCAGAATGCTAGAAAACTTTGCTCAACATAGCAAAGCTTGCTGGCTTGAAACATTTTAATCATTTTTCCTTTCTTGAAGAGCTAAGTTTTCCCTAAGCTTTTTTCTTTTTAAAATAAATCTAGGAGTTTATTATTTTACCATTATTCTAGGCAACCCAGGTTTCACACCCAAAGCTGAGATAATTCAAATAAACCCATGGTTGCAATGTTACATTCCTTCATTTGTATTTCAGGGATCAGACACTATACTGTACTTTCTAGTTTCATTCTTGTCGTTAAATGATTAGCAGGCATTTTTTTTTCTCCAGTGGTTCAGCATAGTAGGATCTCATTTCAAAAAATGAGATGGATGAGGAATCTGCATTTCAATGAACTAAGACAGAAAAAAAGTACAGAGAACCCTAATCCATTAACAAATAGGATGGGGTATTTCATCAGATAAAAGCAATTATTCGATAGTCATAACTAATTTGAATATGTGCAAAAGTGTTACATTATTTTTCTATAGGAATCAAAGATAACTTAGATCAGCCATGAAAGACTTTCAAAAACTCCTCATTCTGAGTAAATAAAGTGTTCATAGATAAATAGATCAGTCATTCTAAGTCTGCAGAAGATGGTCTTCCACAGTTAAGCATCTAGCACTGGGGTGTCAAACTCGCAACATCACATGACGTGTCGCAACTTATCGTGACTTTTTTCTATTGCCGGCAATGGGATGGGCGCGGTTTCGTCAGTGACGCATCCAGCCCGCGGGCTGGCAGTTTGACACCCCTGATCTAGCAAAATGGACTCACAATTTCCAGCTCATTGGAAACCAGTAACAGAATAACAAAATAGCAGAGTCGGAAGGGACATTGGAGGTATTTTAGTCAAACTTCTAGTGTGATGGCATGACCTGGCCATAAATATAAGGAAAAGGAGAAGTCAACACTTCACCAAACATTAGGAGGCAGAGCTAGCAGTCTGCAGTGGTATCTTTCATCTGTCTTTACTTTAAAAAAACCCACACACACCACTGTTGTTTGTGAAACAAAGATTCTGTATGCATTATCTTAGTGAAATATGTATTTCAATATATCTGTATATATAGCAGGCATGAACTGTGTGTGTGTCAGACACAGTAATCAAATGTATGCTTAAAGATGAACCCATGAAGAAGCTGACCTGGCATATGTACTGCTGAGCCAAACCACATGGGCAGCTGTTCATATAAACAGCTAACCATGTGGCTAACTTTGTGCACAAATCTGTTTTCCAGCAATGTAGTTTCCACAAAGATAATGAATAAACCAGTCTGGGGAGATGGGAACTGAGAACAAAAGAGGAAAGAAAGAAAAAGGGAATAGATTAGTACTTAGGCAATATCTAGGAGGTGAGAAATATTTAATTTTTTCCCACGATTTGTATTGAATTACAAGATCATACTCCTAGAAACGGAACATATATGTCCATCCCCTTAGTGGTAACAGATTCCAGAAAAGAAACGTTATCAGGTAGTATTTTAAGGCAGCGAGGTCTACTCTAGAAGACACCAGCAATCTCTCAAGAGAAGATCCATCACTAGCACTTAAGATTATGAAAAGCATCCATGCATATGTTATAGAGAGAATCCAACTGAGAAAAGCTCCAATTTCTGTTACAGTATCAAGATGATAAGGGAGGTGAAAGGGCCTTTTCCATTGCATACATTTCACTACTGTATGCAGTTATACGAATTTGCACACAGTTGTAAAATGTGCAGAGCTACTTTCCGTGTTTATGTTTTTATGGTGAAATGGAAAAAGCAACATGAAAGACTTTTTCATCATTTCACCATAAAAACATAAAACACAGCTCTCCATGTTTTAAAATTCATACAACTATATCTCTGCTTAATGCTCCAATGTGATATACTGTGTGCCACCATCTGCCAGCAATCCCCCTCTGGATTCTATGTAGGACAAACAAGGAAACTTTGTACAAAAGAATTAACAAGACACACGTTTGACATCAGAGCTCCAAACAAGGACCACATAATATCACAGCATTTCAACTCCCTACAATCAGACTTTCTATTGTAGACTTCAGAAATAACCATTTTGGAAAATGTTAACATGACCATCAAATGAGATTCACTCATATACTCAAAGGTTTTCAGGCAATTTCAGAATGTCTCAACAAATACAATGAGTTTGTAACACATTGCCATTGTGAATTTATAAGATACTTGTACTCCCTTACACATGTAACCTGTATCTGCATAACCTATCTTCCCTTTCCCTTCCTCCCACCTCATCCTAATTTAAATCCAACAACAACCCAGCTATCCCATGCATCTAATGAATGCCTTTTAGTAAAATGTATTATTCTAAAAAAGTGCTTTTTTGATTTCCAGCTTCCCAATAGTAAGCTTTACTGCAGACAGTCATGATTATTGCAGCAAAGGCAGGGATTAAGATTCCTTCTCTACATGCCACAATCTCCATAACATTTATCAAGCCATTAGGTCTCTGATTAAATGTGTATGCCACTAATCTGTGAGATTTTTTTCTTCTGTATCTTATTCCTATTTTTCCTACTGTATTTCTTCTCTTTGTAGAAATAAAAATCAGATTGTGGCTTTAATACTGATGCCCAGAGTCACTGAGAGTGAGTGGGTGGCCATATAAATCTTCTAAATCAATCAATAAAATAAAAACATTCCCATAAGCTTTTGATATACTTCATTCTACATTTCCATTTAATTCATTAGTTCAAGTTTATAACTTTGACCAATAATGTTTGGTAGTTAGCATTTAGAAATAGCACCCCACCCTCTGCATACACCCCAAAATACCAATCAGAATTCAAGTTACCACACCTGGTTATTTAATTCAGGCTCAAACAGAAACTTGAGTAAAGCTCTTCCCGAAAATATTCAGACTTGGGCTTTGATGGTTCTCTAGAGGAAAGGAATGCTACAGTTGTGGGGGAGACATAAAAAAATGTTTCCTTGCATTTGTGTGCTTAAAAAAATAAAAGTACATTTTATCAGCTACCAACAACAATATGCTTGAAGTCATTTGAAGGAACATCTAAGGCATAATTTTGGTCTGCCTTATTAAAGCAGTTCTGCCCCCAAATTTTTAAGAGAGCTTTGGCAGGCAACCATTCAATAACACTGACTTGTGGAATAAGACACTGCAAGCTGAGTTAGCACGCTAACAGGAAACAGCTCAATCTGGATTCAATCAGAGACTGTCTCTTTTCTGAATGATTCCTGAAAACAAGAGGGGAGTTTTGGGTTTGCTTCTTGGCCAGCTGTCCACCTACAAGTAAGCCACATTGATTACTTTTCAAAGGGCACTTCTACAGCTGAAAGGCAATTTTCCATCAGCAGGACTTAAGAATGAAGAATATACCATACCTCATTGAAGGTCAAGAAAAGTCATGCTGTTTTTAAAGAATTACCCCTCTTACTTTCACATTTCACTTTTAACTCAAAGTTCCATGGAGATGCTCTTCACCTGTTATGAGTTTCTACTGTTCTAAATCAATTATCTATAATGTGTGGGGGGGGAGGGGCTTTTCAGAGTCTTCAAGTCAGTCTTGACTCCTGGCAACTGCCTGGAGAAGTCACTAGAGTTTTCTTAGCAATAACTTGAAAGTGGTTTGCCACTGCCTCCTTCCCAAGACTGAGAGAGAGTGACTGGACCAGGATCACCTAGCTGACTTTGTTCGTAATGTGGGACTTGTCTCCCTGTTTCTAGTCTAGTCCCATGAGAAGGTGGTGCTTAGCAGTAAAAAGGTTGCCAGCTCTAGGTCTATATAAATATAAGAAAGATATATAGTTATAGGTAGTCCTTGAGTTACCGTACCTCCACAATTGGGACTAGAATGCTAGTTGTTGAACAGAGCAGTCATTAAGCAAAACAGCCCGTGACTGCTTTGGTCAATGACTGCAATTGCAGTCTTCCCAGTCATTAAGTGGACAAAGTGTCAGGTAAGGAGCACAGAGTGCCTCAAGGATTTGGGGGAGACCATAGGAGGTTTGATGCAGGCTGCATGTGTGTGTCTCTGCTCAAAAGCTGAAAATTCTCCCTGCCAAGAAAATATTTTTAACACCCGAATAGAGACATACTTACATGTGGCCTGGGCCAGCCCCCAAGTCCCATGAGGCACATCACATTCCTTAGCTTATTATGCTGTCTCACCATTCAGGAGCTGAAAATCCTGCTTGGATTTTAGCTCCCTCTAATCAATGGGGTCTGAATGAAAGAGCTGGCTTCTGAAGAATTTCAGCTTCAGGCCAATCCAAACTCATATGGAATTGAAATCCTTCTCTCTGGAGATTGGCTGAACAAGCTGCCAGCCAAGAGATTTCAGCTCTATGACTGTTTGGTTTGGCCTGGAGCTGAAATCCTTCAGCAGGCAGGTCTTTCAGCCAGCCATGAAAGACGAGAGGGAGTTTTCTCAGGAGGCAGCAGCAGCTTGAAAGTTTTCCTGCTGGCTTCCCCATTAAACTTCTGGGGAAGCCAGCATA